TAACACTACCTTGAACTACAAGAATATTATTTTAAAGTACAAGGACACTATTCTGAAGTACAAGGATATTATTTTAAATTACAGGAATGCTATTTTTAAGTAGAAAAATCCTTTAAATTACAAGCATACTATTTCGAAGTATAATGATATTATTTTCGCAACGAAAAAAGATCTCGACGCCAATTGCAAATAAAACCTAATAATAATAACAATAATAACAACAACAACAACAATAATAACAATAATAATAATAACAATAATAATAACAATAATAATAATAACAACAATAATAATAACAATAATAATAATAATAATCAATGTATCGTCACATAACCCCAAAAAATAAATCCAGAGAAATTCCTCAAATTTTCCGAAATCCCGCATCCCTCCGAACGAACTCTAAATTCGCAGCCAAATCCGATCAAACTCTCAGCGTGATCGTAGCCCCGTGAACTCGCCATAACTTCGTCGTCCCTTCGAGCATAGAGTTTCGGGACCACACGTCCCGGAGAAACAAGTTACGCTCGAAGAAATCGATTCCCCTGTCCGCCGGCTAGAACCACCCTCTCTGATCGGTCGGTACGGACGACACCGTCGTCGGAGATCCCAGAACGGCACAACGACTAACGTTTCGCCTCAAAAAAATCATCCCCGTGGTCCCCCCATGAAGCTCGACACAGAGAAGGCGAGAGGATCGAGGCACTGTCAATATCGAGCCGCCTAAAAAACGAACTCCCGTTCATCGCCGACAGTGGCGTCAGCAACGGTCCGTGGTCGGGCGACGCGCATGCACCACCCCCGTCGCGGGGGTGCCCAAGGGTGGAAGGGAGGCCGGCTAGAAGGGAAGGAACGGGAGAGAGAGACGGAGCGAGAGGGGGAAATCGAACGCCGACACCGTTCCTCGCAGTCTCCTCCCGTGGTTCGCGCGTGCACCGAAACCATCTTCCATTCTGCGTGGCTTCGAGAGGAACGAGAAAAAAGCGCTGGGGAATCCGCGAGCCCGGTCAGGCCCATCGGCGACGAAACACCGATCTCACCCGCTGCGACCGTGTGTCCCTCTCTTCCGCCTCACCCCTCGCATCGGCCGCATCCCGGTGGATCTAATGCGAAAACAGCGACCGGCCGCAGGAGAGCATCGCCAAACCTGAGGAGCTCGAATCTTTGCGAACATCGCCAGCGGCTCGTGACGCGAGAAAGTGAGTACCATGCACGGAGAGATTTTGCCGCGGTGAAAATTCAGCGGAGCCGCGGCGGTTTCGCGGAAACACGCGGCTCTGGCCGCGTAACCCTTCGAAGAACCCTTGGCCGCCGAAAGACGCGTTCGTTCCTCCGGTTTGTTCGATCACCGAAAATCGGCGCGCCAGCCAGGCCTCGCGCGGTTCGCTGCTCGCGTCCCGAGATTTTGCGCCTCCGTGGCGTTCGTTTCAGAGATTAACGGCGACCTCGATACGCTTGTTGTAGGTAGTAGGGTCGCTGCTAGGGCAATTAACTCTAGACGGAAGATTAAACTTGTTTGTGATGAGAGTATGTTGTAAATAGACTGCGAACCGTTATGCCTGCTCCTGTCTCTCGAGAGAGCTGGCTCGCGAAAATTCCATGGGATATTGCGCGTTTCGCCGTGCGCTCGGAGTTTCGTCATTATGCTCAGCTTGAGCTTCGCTTCGCGTTTTATTGCGAACGAGGTTCTTTGTCGTTTAATTCGACGGTTTGTGGGAATGTGTTTCGCGGATCGGTTTTGGAGACTGAGGAACGCGCGAGACGTTCGTTAAACGCCATTGTTCCGAGACCGAAGGCTAGTCTTCGGACGTCCGATTTACAAAAATTGCCGAGGACAGAATATATATGATATAATATAAAGTAATATAGAATAATATAAAGCAATACGAAATAGTATAAAATAGTATAAAGTGATATGAAACAATATAACATAATATGAAATAATATAGAGTAATATAAAGTAATATAAAATAATATAAGATAATATAGAGTAATATAAAATAATATAAAATAATATAGAGTAATATAGAGTAATATAGAGTAATATAAAGTAATATAAAATAATATAGAGTAATATAGAGTAATATAAAGTAATATAAAATAATATAAAATAATATAGAGTAATATAAAAAATATAAAATATAAAATAATATAAAATAATATAAAGTAATATAAAATAATATAGAGTAATATAGAGTAATATAGAGTAATATAGAGTAATATAAAGTAATATAAAATAATATAGAGTAATATAGAGTAATATAAAGTAATATAAAATAATATAAAATAATATAGAGTAATACAGAGTAATATAAAGAAATATAAAATATAAAATAATATAAAATAATATAGAGTAATATAAAGTAATATAAAATATAATATAAAATGATATAAAATAGTATAAAGTAATATAAAACAATATTAAATAATATAGAGTAATATAGAGTAATATAAAGTAATATAAAGTAGTATAAAATAATATAAAATAGTATAATGTAATATAAAATAATATAAAATAGTATAAAATAATATAAAATAATATAAAGTAATATACAATATAAAAATGAAATTTTGAGAAAATTTATGGACCGATTTAACCGATAGTCCGTTCGAGCAGTAACGGTAGGCCAGAGCAGAACAATTTTCTAATTAAAATTAACGTTCCAGGAAATTCCGGGTACAAACCGGTTATGGTTCTGTAATGAAATTATAAAGTAATTAAGCGATGTTGTGCGCGAGGATACTATTCGCGTCGGTATTTTCGATATGGCGCCTTAGTACGGAGAGCATCGGAGATTTATTTGTCGAATGATTCACGTGCTGAAAACATTCATTAGATTCGAGAGCACGGTATTTGGAGCGGAGTAGGTATCATGTCGGCGCTCATCCGGGATACTTGACACGAAAATGAAATTTTCGTAGCTCGGGGAATGGTGAACTGTGCTACGAGTTACACGATGGCGCCACGATGTCTAATGCCGTCGAAAACGCGACCTCGGCTGATTACGATCGGGCTGGTCCCGTCGGAATGCTTGACGCACGCCAAAAAATTCCGCGAGGGTGGCGCGCGCGCGCGTACCTCTTCCTTTCTCGTCATTCGATGTATTTTAATCCCTTAACTTGTACGCTCGAGTTAACTCGAGCGCGCCAAACAGGCCAACTGTGCGCACTCGAGATAATTCGAGCGGCGTTGTACTTTATGTTGCTATAATTTTTCACACTCGACTGCAATCGAGAATTGAAAATAACAATGTGAAAGTAAAATAAAAACAATCGTTTTATTGATATTTATCATTTACATGGGATTGTAAGCTGTAACTCTTATTTATTCAAGAATAAAATATAGAATTTTTCCATGGAACAAAAGCGCAGTATATCAAAATTCTCCACCAAAAGAAAGGTTTCGACAAAAAAATTGATCTTTTTGTGACCGGTTTTTTAAAAAAAAAAAAAAACTGTGCGTTAAGGGGTTAATGGAAAACAATGCGAAAATACATTCTCGGTTTCGTCGGAACAGAGCTGTTGGCACCGATTCGTCGAACCGTTCCGCAATTTTTACATCGGCTACGGAAATTACGCTGTCACTTAAACGGATACGATAAAATTTAAAACAAATGGTATCACGATGGACGGATTAGGATTGAAAAAAATGGGATACGATGAAATCGATCGCTGGCGTTTTTAAAGAATTTTACAATCAGTTAAGCAAAAAGTTTTTACCTTCTTCGTGAATACTTTGTCAAGGTTGATTCGACATCGTAATTGTTGAATTTTTGCGGTATTTGTTTTTTCATAAGCATGTCATAAATAAAATATCGTGAACTATTATGAAACAAAAGTTTCGTGAAACTTTTTGTTTCTCATTAAACGTTGTACTTACATTTTACAATATTGGCAATATTATTGTCAAGTAGTACAACCCCTGGCAAAAAGTATTCGACCACGTTTTAAAACGCAATAACTTCTTTTTAAATTCATCTAATTGTCTCGAATCTTTTTTTAAGCGTTAAAAAGACCAGTTTACGTTACAATGCCTAGCATACTTTCTTTTAAATTCTGCTACGCTCTTCCCAAATAGTCCATTTTTGTGCGCAATCCGAGCGTCGATTAGGGAGAATTTATTGTACAGGATGTCCCAAAAATGTCTCGCAATCCGAAAGTGGCGGGTTCCTCGGGTCATTCGAAGCAACTTCTTCCTTTACAAAAATTTTCTCCGAGTCACCGTTAACGAGTTATTAACGAAAAACAGTGACCAATGAGAGGCGAGCTCGGCTGGCGCGAGGCGACCGAGCCAATGAGCGGAACTGGGCTTCGCGCGCTGGTTGGCTAAGCCGCCTCGCGTCAGCCGTACTCGATTCTTATTGGTCGCTGTTTTTTGTTAATAACTCGTTAACGGTGCCTCGGGGAAAATTTTTGTAAAGAAAGAAGTTGCTTCAAATGATCCGAGGAATCCGCCATTTCCGGATTGCGAGACATTTTTGGGACGCCCTGTATATCGGCAAGAGTATCAGAATTTGTGTCGGCGCAATAAAATTCCTCTACGATCGCGATCACCGACGCTATCTCGTCCAAAACCCATCTCCGATATTTCTCTTTCTTGCGTACACAGGCCACGGATATAGCTCGTACCTTCCATTCAGATATAGCATAGAATCAGACAGGTGCATTCGCGACACAATGGTTCATATCGTTAGTATTCTTCGAATATCATTGCGAGGCTTCTTTCGCGCGACTCGTGCCGTATAATAATATAATATTTATGCGGCCGCGCGACGAGCCGGACATCTCAATGACGACAACATAACAGTTCCTCGAGGTGTCCGAAATCCTCGCTGGTCTCTCTTTGCTCGATGAACGAGACCGAAATCGAATTCGTCGAGCACGCGAAATCGCATCAGGGAACGCACGCGGATCGATGAAATCATGCGTATGTTAATAATGTGGTATACCAGAACGGTGTACCGAAACTAGTTCATCCATTCAAATTGATAAACGCTGTTCCCGTCATAATTATAATATCTGATGCTACGTTTTGGACCTTTTCGTACGAAAGTTTTTGTTATAAATATATATATATATATAAAGATAATATAATATACAATAATAATATATAATATAACATACGATAATAATATATAATATAATTACAATAATAATACATAATAAAATATACAATATAATATATAGTATAATATAGAATAATAATATATAATATAGTATACAATATAATATATAGTATAACATATAATAATAATATATAATATAATATACAATAATAATATATAATATAACATACGATAATAATATATGATATAATATACAATAATAATATATAATATAACATACGATAATAATATATAATATAATTACAATAATAATACATAATAAAATATACAATATAATATATAGTATAATATAGAATAATAATATATAATATAGTATACAATATAATATATAGTATAACATATAATAATAATATATAATATAATATACAATAATAATATATAATATAACATACGATAATAATATATGATATAATATACAATAATAATATATAATATAACATACGATAATAATATATAATATAATTACAATAATAATACATAATAAAATATAGAATATAATATATAGTATAATATACAATAATAATATATAATATAACATACAAAAATAATATATAATATAATATACAATAATACTATATAATATAATATACAATAATACTATATAATAAAATATATAATAAATAAAAGCAATAAAAATCCGTTTCCTTTAATCGCAGTGCAAAACCGCACGAAAATTGTTAACAGCGGAACAAATAACGAAGATCTTTCATACTTTCCACTGAATATTGGTATTTTCTTCTTTGCAACAAAAGAGCGAATTCGCTAAATACAAAGTAAACAAAAAGCTTCGATAAAAATCCTCTGTAATCTGATCGGAGTAAAAATATCTCTGCAAAATTAGTAACAATTTAACAAATATCAAAAACCTTTCATAATTCTGGTATTTTTATTCGCGATATTTTTTACAACAACAGCGAATTCGTTGAATATAAAATACGGTAAAAGGTTCGATGAAATAGCTCGTACTTGAATCATAGTTAAACTTGCAGTAACTCTCGCAGCGTTCGACAATTCGACGCGTACTAGTATCTTTTTATCCCCCGAGGTGAAGAGCGAGTCCCTTATCAAAGCTC